GCGACGGGAGGGGAGTGACGTGAGACACACCAGACGGGGCAGGACGGGGAGGGAGTGGAGCAGGGGCTACCAGGGGAGTGGGGACCGGAAACAGGGGTGGGGAAACCGGGAGACCTCGGTGGGGAAAGCGACTGTAAAAGGAGACAGACTCGTCGAAAGTGACGTCACGCGAGTGAAGGAAGCGGTGAGATGGCGGGTGGTAGAAGTGCCAATCAGACGAGTCAAGGGGGAAGCCAAGGAGGACACAGGGGACAGTGCGGGCAGCGAGCTTGTCCGTGCCAGAGGCACGAACGTGAGCGAGGCAGCCCTAGACATGGAACGCTGACGCGTCACCAGGAGACCCGGTCCAGAGGAGGGTCGGGGAAACCTGCGGCCGCTGCGGTCAGCTGGTGAGCTGCGTAGCAAACAGCGTATGGCCACAGAAAATGGGGTGCACTGGCATGCATCATGGAGGTACGAGCCACCTCGATAACCAAGCCGATGCGTCGCTCAGCAACCCTATTCTGCTGTGGGGAGTCCGGCAGGGTGTACGACTAGGTGAAGCCCTCCGCACGACAGAAACAGCCAAGCCGACCGAAGGCAAACTCGCCGCCATAGTCATGAACCAGGGAGCTTCCGTCCTAGCACTGACTTGTGAGGTGACGCCGAAGGTTGACGAGCCACGCTTGAAAGTCAAGCGCCCGACCCTCTGCGTCCAGATGGAGCTGTGACTCCGCCATCACCACTGCTGCAGGTGCTTACGGTCGCTAACAGAGTGAGGAGGACACGTGGAGGAAGCAGTGAAGAGGGTGGAGTGCGGTGTAGTGAGGTGGAGTACGGTGGAGTGCGGTGGAGTGTGGTGGAGTACGGTGGAGTGCGGTGAAGAGCGGTGGAGACAGCTGGTAGGGAAGCTGACGCTGAAGGGAGCCAGAGCCGTTGGCTCGGCGCTGGGACTCGACGGTTCGGCGGGCGGCCGCTGAAGTGGGGGCCGGCGAGGCTGGAACCGGCTGGCTGGGCGGCTGGCTGGCCGACCGGCTGAGGAGGGCCGACGGGGCGCACGGGGCCGACGAGGCGCAGGCGGGGCCGATAGGGCGCCAACGGGACCGGCAAGGCGCGAAGAGGCCGGCGGGCCGAGCTAGGCCGGAGGGATGCACAGGACCGACGGGGCACTAACAGGGCTGGCAGGGCGCGAGCGGGCCGGTGGGGCACTAACGGGCCGGTGGGGCAAGCGGGGCCGTCAAGGCGCTAACGGGCCGGCGGGGCACCGACGGGCCGGCGGGGCGCTAACGAGCCGGCGGGGCGACAGGGCCAGAGGGGCGCACAGGGCCAACAGGGCGCTAACGGGGTCGGGAGGGCGCTAACGAGCCGGAAGGGCGCTAACGGGCCGGCAGGGCGAGCAGGGCCAGAGGAGCACACGAGGCCGACGGGGCGCTAACGGGGCCGTGAGGGCGCTAACGGGCCGGTGGGGCGCTAACGGGCCGGTGGGGCGAGCTGGGCCAGTGGGGCGCATGGGGCTGACGGGGCGCTAACGAGGCCGTGAGGGCGCTAAGGGGCCGGCGGGGCGCTAACGAGCCGGCGGGGCGCTAACGAGCCGGCGGGGCGAGCAGGGCCAGTGGGGCGTACGGGGCCGATGGGACGCTAACGGGGCTACGAGGTGAACAGGGCCGGTGGGGCGCATGGGGCCGACGGGGCGCTAAGGGGCGGCTAGGGCTAGGACGAGGGCGGAAGCGCGGGTGGGCGGGGAGGACCTAACCTAGCGCGTGATACCATCTCAGAATAGCAAGTTGGACTAGAATGAGGCATACAGGTTGGTTTTGTTCAATTGTTTGTACCCTCTAGGAGCATCCACCTATCTAGCCTAGTATAATATGTACAAATATGTTTGACATTCTTGATAACCTATCATACATACCATGGGGCAGTGTCAAAACTTGTTCCTCGCCCGTAGCGAAGCCATGTTGGGTGATGCGTGTGGTTCCGTTTTGTTTTGTTTTGTTTTGTTTTGTTTTGTTTTGTTTTGTTTTGTTTTGTTTTATTTTGTTTTGTTTTTTTCTTTCTTTCATTCATTCTTTCTTTCCCGCTGGTTTGTTGACTTGGAAATGTTGGAAAGAGTTCTTGCCAGGCCTCTGGATAGGATTTGAAGTATTCTTTCTTGTAAGGGTACTCGTTTGTTGCCACTTTTTCTGTAAGGCTATATTTTTAAGCTACTTTGTACTTTTTAAGGGTCCTAAATATTTGTACTTTTTCAATAACTCCAGCGCAGCCTTACATTTTACTGTACCGTAGTTTACTGGATCTTGCGTAATCAGACGACTGACATGTTGCAGATCTGATGTGACGATGTGCTTTGGGCTACTCTCGACAGGGTGCGCCAAGATTTTTGTTTGTTAGCGCTGAAGTGGAGGGAACGCCGCACCTCGGTAATTTTGCTATTATAATTTGTGTGGTTACAGGTTAGGGTGTATTTCAACATCAGTGCGTTCAGTACCAGGGAACCAAGCTTCGCGAACCACCAAATCGAAATGAACAAGAATTCGCTTTTTGACCCTCGGACCTCACTGTTTCGCGTTTCAGACTGCATTTCGGGTTTGCTGTTCCTCGTTCCCTAGACCCTTCATGGTCGCGACCTGAGTTCCCGTTGTCAGTAATTTTTGCGGCACTCGTGATTTCGTCAATTTAGTGAGCTGAAGGGTACTTGAGGGGCAACCCAGAGGCTTGGAAAAAAAGTGTGCTATGCACCGACTACGCAAACGTGAACAGTGTTTGGGCTGCCTATATAATTCATAGTTGCCCGACATGCGAGTTAAGGTGTTCCAAATACAATCCTTTTTGGAGTTAGGGCTGATGCCACCCTGAGTGGTCGTACCCCTCTCGTTTCTTTTTTTGTTCTTTCATTTCTTTAACTAATGCAGTGGCGGATACGACACTACCGACACGAATTAAACATTCAAGTCGGCAGGTTTTGTAACTGTGCGTATGACTTCTTGGGTGAGTGGCAGCCATAAAAAAGCGTAAACCATTACAGTAGCAAAGGAAACTGACGGCGGGAATCTCCGTCGTACACGGGCAGGGGCCAGTTAAAAACTCGTGAAAATATAAATACAAGTCGCCGATATTTCGTAGGCGGGAGATTTCCTCGCCGAAGTGGAAGGGGGGAAGAGAAGGTGTGACATATCACGTCCATAACTTTCTTTTCGTTTCAGGCTACCTTGTAATTTCAATGTAGTTATTCCCCCGAGTATGTCTTGAACACACTTGGCACTGGGGGACTTAGCCGAATCCTCTGGGTTGCGAGGTGTATGGGAGGATTGTCTCTGTTAGTTGTGGACTTAGCCGAATCCTCTGGGTTGCAAGGGCACTACAGGAGCTCTGTCTCTGCTAGTGGGGGACCACCAATTTTTCGGGGTCGCTCGAGGGCTGTGGGACAGGGCCTCAGAGTGCAGGCTTTTTACCCTGATTCAGGGTAAAATCAGGGCTTTTTGGGGGGATGACCCTGATGAGACAGGGTTTTTTTAAGACAACGGCCTGAAATTTCAGTGTTTTTTTAGGAGTGAACTCGAATCGATAAGCGTGACAGGTGTAGTGAGGCCTGTTTTTCCAGCGTCGTATCAGGGCCCGATCTTGATTCTTGTAATAGCGTATTCCTAGCCCCAACCCCTCCACCCGTGAGTTCCGTGATTTTCCCCCCACCCTCCCCGTCAATCACGCTGACTTGACTGTGACCAACCAGAATCCCGCCCCCCTGGAGAGTATTCTGCCTTTCTTCATCCAGCACACAGTGCTCGGCAGGTTCTCATAGGTTGTTCGAAAGTTGCCAGCCACTGCTGTCTCCAGCACATACCGTAGGTGACTTTTTATTCAGCGTGAAAAAATCACAACACCCTGATTGATCAGCGTAAGTTTTTATGCGAGGCCTGAAAAAACAGGGAGCTAAAGGGGGGGGACCCTGAGCGATCAGCGTGCCCCAAAACGAATCTGAGGCCCTGCTGTGGGAGGAATGTCTTCGGCAGTGGGGGAGTTAGCTGAAATCTAGGGTTGCGTGGGGTATAGGAGGAATGACTCTCGGATTGGGGGGACTTAGCCGAAATCTATAGGTTGCCAAGGTGAGAAATTCTTATCGCGGGGGATCGCATGTGTGATTGTGTAAGGGTGATTTTACACAACACTTTTCCACATCAGGGTCTCTACACTTGACCACTATAAAAAAATGGGGTCCCGTATAGATCTAGTTTTTTTCATAAGGGTCCAAAACAAAACCACGTTTAAAAATAAGGGTCCAACACCTACCCCACCCTTATTGTAAGGGTCGTAAGGGTATTTTACCTTGATCTCCTGAGGCCTGGTTCTTACAGGTTTTAAATTGACGAGATATGTCATCGGAAAGGTGCCCGAAGCAGGGCCCACGGGGTCAGGGGTTTCGTCCATCTACCTACCATTCTTGGAATGTTTTGCCATTTTTCGTTTGAGTACATGTTAAGTACCTGTGGAACCCAATTGATGAAACGTGTTACATAGCTCGCAAAAAATGTGAGTGGAATAGTTTCACGGACAGTACGAATTAGCGGGGCTCCTAATACTGCGTGGAGATAAATTTCCCCTTTTTGGCAGGCCTCTGTCACTGGTTCCTGGTCGCCACGTCAGGGGTCGCAGTTGCGAACTTTAGCGAGCCGCATAGGGCGGTTTGCTGTATCGGTTGGGCCTCGCGGTGTGATTTTTAGCCGTCGGATCGCAGCGCCCCCTGACATGACGACCAGTTCGCACCCAGCACTCCCCTGCATTTGAAAATAGAACGGAACCGCCATCCGACGACAGAGGGAGGGATCACCCAGATCGACGGCAACTGGAGGGAGAAGCCAGCACCGCGGAAACCAATTCGAGACGGAATGTGTCGCCTTCCCGTCCCCCCAACAGGGGGTGCTCACCCAGCTGGCAGCAATGCTCGCCTCGCCGCGCTCTTGGCCGAGCAGAGCAGCAAGCAGAGCAAGCCGGGCACTCAACCAGAAGCAGCGGCTCAAGCAGAGCTGAAATCTGGTTCAGCCTTCGACAAGGTCCCCGAACGGTAGATGCCTTTCAGAACCATTCTTTCTCAAGTCCTCCAGTTTACCGCATCCTTCGGTAGCCACTATTCGCGTTGTCCGAGTGAGGCAGGGCCTGCGAAAGCGTTGATTCTTCCCGTTACGTCGCAGGCAGTGGTGCGAGCCATGAGAGGCGCCTCGCAGATGTGCGTTCTGTGCCTCGCGCTGGCCCTTACGCACGTCGCAGCAGTGGACGGCAGCACCATCGCCCGTTTCCCCACTAAGGTACTAACCCTCAACCGCACTATGTGCGACACCTTGTGCCGCATAGTACCTGCCACGCTTTGTGCTGCACAGTTCCTGCGACGCTTTGTGTCGCATAGTTCCTGCGACGCCTTGTGTCGCATAGTTCCTGCGACGCCTTGTGTCGCCTAGTACCTGCGACGCCTTGTGCCGCATAGTACCTGCGACGCCTTGTGTCGCATAGTAACTGCGCATTAGCCGTCGCTGTTGTGGTCTAGCTGCCGCCCGCTCACGCGTAGCGGATCGCCGCCGGCACGTGGATGTCGCGGCGGCACGCCCCACCGTTCCTGTGGATATCCCCTCTCTCCCCACTCCATTGCTCCCCACCCCTGCCAGGACATGCCCGCGTGCTCGGCGTGCGACAACGGCACTCTGTGCGTGCCGCTCTTCGCCTTCTGCTTCTCCTCCTCCGGCCCCTCCTGCAAAGACGCCTCCGATTTCGGCGCGCCGTGCGCCGACTACCAGGTACCACCCCCTGACCGGCTCGCTGGTCGTTATCAAGCCCTGCTCCCACAACTCCCTTGCGAATACGGCAACACTCGGCCGCCTTGCACCGCAGTGCAGCCTTGAAGCTCCCATGACTTCACCACTCCAGCGATTCCGTTCCCTGTGGCGCCCCAAGTGCCCCCTTTCGTGCGAACCTCCGCGCCAAGTCAAGTCACGATCGCAGCAGCCCTACTCTGGGGCGCACGGGACGCCGGGATGGCGACACGGCATGGCGACACGGCATGGCGGCATGTGCGCGCACATCCCCCGTTACTTGCGCCCCGTTCTGGCGATCACACCTCGCCCGTGCTTCCCCCATCAAAACTCTCCCCCGCTCTCCCCCCGCCTCCCCTCCGCCCTTTCCTCCTCTCCCCAGTGCCCCGCGGGGTCGTCCAAGTGCTTGGACGGGCAGCAGTGCGTGCTTGACTCTGCGCGCTGCGACGGCAGCAAGGACTGCCTGGACGGCTCGGACGAGGACCCCAAGGCGTGCGGCGCCTTCGACTGCTCCGCCATCGGCATGGTACGTGGTGACTCGGTGCGCAGTGGTGACTCGGTGCGCAGTGGTGACTCGGTGCGCAGTGGTGACTCGGTGCGCAGTGGTGACTCGGTGCGCAGTGGTGACTCGGTGCGCAGTGGTGACTCGGTGCGCAGTGGTGACTCGGTGCGCAGTGGTGACTCGGTGCGCAGTGGTGACTCGGTGCGCAGTGGTGACTCGGTGCGCAGTGGTGACTCGGTGCGCAGTGGTGACTCGGTGCGCAGTGGTGACTCGGTGCGCAGTGGTGACTCGGTGCGCAGTGGTGACTCGGTGCGAAGTGGTGACTCGGTGCGCAGTGGTGACTCGGTGCGCAGTGGTCGCGGGTCCTCGTTCTCACTCGTAGCGTTGACTGCTTCACATCCGAAGCAGTCGCCGGTCGTTGCGACTGCCATGCCCGCATCGCCAGCACCGCAAGCACCCCTGCCTGCCACGCCTCGTTCCTCATCGTCCGCCACCCTTGGTGTCCCCCGTCACACCGCCGTCCACGGCCGCCTCGCACCACATCCACGCGCCAGCACCTCCTCCACTCACATACCCTCTCCTCCCCCTTCTTCCCCTCTCTCCCCCCCCTTCTTCCCCTCTCTCTCTCCCCCCTGTTCACCACAGGAGCGCTGTCCGCTGGGCGCGCCGCAGTGCGTGCCGGGGTATCTGCTGTGCGACGGCAAGCCCACGTGCCCCAACGCCACGGACGAGCACCCCGCCTTCTGCGCGCAGTACCAGTGCGCCAACGACGGCCGGGTCAGTGCCTCTACGCGCACTGCATCCATCTCTTCCTGTGCTCCACTGCCGCTCGCCGATCGCCAGCGGTGCGAGGGGGAGAATGCGTGCGGGTGGTGACGGGGTCGATCGGCAATCATCCCGCCCCCCTCCTCTTCCCTTCAACGCCTTTTCCTGTCCCTCCCCCATACCTTACGCTCACCGTCCTTCACACCACCCTCGCCCTCCTCACTTCTTCCCCACCGCTTGCTCCCACCGCAAAGCGCACCTTTCAATCTCGTCCCGCCCACCTCTACCATTTCCCACACCCTTCCCGCTTCCCCCCCCAACAGCAGCAGTGCCCGTCCGGCTCGGGCTGCATGTTCCTGTCGCAGGCGTGCGACGGGGTGAGCGACTGTAGCGATGGCAGCGACGAGGACGCGGCGTTCTGCAAGGCGTTCAACTGCAGCGACGCCGGCAAGGTCAGTCGCCACGTCCTGGCGTTGCACGCGAGCCCGGTCGCTGCCACCTTCACGTCTCTCATCCCCCCTCAAGGCCTTCCTCCCACACCTCCCACCTTCCCCCACCTTCCTCCCACACCTCCCACCTTCCCCCACCTTCCTCCCACACCTCCCACCTTCCCCCACCTTCCTCCCACACCTCTCACCTTCCCCCACCTTCCTCCCACACCTCCCACCTTCCCCCACCTTCCCCCACCTTCCTCCCACACCTCCCACCTTCCCCCACCTTCCTCCCACACCTCCCACCTTCCCCCACCTTCCTTCCAGACCTCCCACCTTCCCCCACCTTCCTCCCACGCCTCCCACCTTCCCCCACCTTCCTCCCACACTTCCCACCTTCCCCCACCTTCCTCCCACACCTCCCACCTTCCCCCACCTTCCTCCCACGCCTCCCACCTTCTCCTCTCACATCTTCCCCCACCTTTCTCTCCTCTCTCCAACCCACCCCCGTGTCCCTCCGTGGCGCCACCAGAGCACGTGTCCGAGCGGGGTGGGGTGTGTGTTTGCGGACGGGGTGTGCAACGGACGCGCTGACTGCAGCGACGGCAGCGACGAGGCAGCCGCCACCTGCAATGACAAGTTCGACTGCACGGCTACGGGCAGGGTGAGTCGAGGCTGCAAACTGGAGCGCCACCGAAGTCACTGCACCTGTCCCATGCCACTCTCGCCTGCACCCTGCCTGCACCCTGCCTGCACCTCTGCTGCCCGCTAACCCCCCAACCCCTCGCACTTCCGCCCTGTGACCCCCCAGGTGGCGTGCCCCCTGAAGGGCGGGTGCGTGTGGGAGTACCAGCTGTGCGACGGGGCGCCCGACTGCCGCGACGGCAGCGACGAGCTGCCCCAGTTCTGCGCCTCCTTCAACTGCTCCACCTCCTTCCGGGTGCGTCTCCCACCTCGCTGCCACTCCTTCCGGATACGCTGTTCCGCTGGCTGCTCGCAAGCAACGTGATCCACACCCTGCTGGGTGCTTCACGCTCAAGTCCAGGGCGCGCCACTGTGGTCTCAACGCCACCCCCTTTCCCCCGTGTTTTCCCCGCCCTCAGGCGTCATGTCCCGGCGGGCAGCAGTGCACATATGAGGGGCTGCTGTGCGACGGCAGGAAGGACTGCACTGATGGCAGCGACGAGGGTCAGCTCTTCTGCAGCACCTACAACTGCTCCGATACTGGCAGGGTCAGTTACAACTGCTCTGAAACTGGCATTGTGAGGTACAACTGCTCTGAAACTGGCAGGGTGAGTTACAACTGTCCGATACTGGCAGGGTCAGTTACAACTGCTCCGATACTGGCCGGGTGAGTTACAACTGCTCCGATACTGGCAGGGTGAGTTACAACTGCTCCGATACTGGCCGGGTGACTTACAACTGCTCCGATACTGGTGGGTGAGTTACAACTGCTCACACTGGCAGGGTGAGTAGAATTCTTGCTTCTAAGCAAAGCTAGATGACGTGTGGATCGATGTTTGAGTGCTTGCTGCCCTTTCGCACCTCTCCCCGCCCCTCCTTCACCCCCCCACCCCGCCCCCCTCTCCAGGTGCTGTGTCCATCGGTGGATGGGTCAGCCCCCGCCTGTGTGGACGCCTCTCTGCTGTGCGACGGTGCGCCGCACTGCCCAGGCGGCAGCGACGAGGACCGTGCCTTCTGTGCGGCGCACCAGTGCGCGCCCGGCCTCATCAAGTGCCCCGGCTCCCTGCGCTGCGTGCCCGGCGCCCTCTGCAACGGCTTCCCCGACTGCCTCGCCCCCGCTGCTCCTGCTCCCAAGCCTGCTCCCAATGTCGCTATCGACCCTCATCTTGACCCGCCTGCTGGCCCTGCTCCCGGCGTCCCCGAGCTGCTGCCAGCTGGCATGGCTCGTACCGGTGGCACTGCTGCAACGAGCACCAAGGGGACGGCCAGTGGAGGCGCTGCTTCGGCTGACGTGGTCATGATGCTAGAGGGGGCGGCTGCTGACGAGGCAGGAGTCAGTGCTGACGAGGACCCGGCCATGTGTGTGGCGTACGAGTGTCCCGAGGGGTGGCGGAAGTGTGCGGATGGTCAGCAGTGCGTGGCGGAGGAGCAGTGGTGCAGCGGCGTGAAGGAGTGCCGTGACGGCAGCGATGAGGACGAGGCCGCCTGCACGGGGTACGACTGCGGGGCGACGGGCCGCGTGGCGTGCCCCTCCGGCAAGTACTGCCTGTGGAACTACTGTGACGTCTGCAACGCCGACCGCCAACCGCTGTGCCCCGACGCGTCGGACCAGCTGCCCTCCGCGTGCCACCTGAAGCAGCAGTGCCCCGTGCGCTACTACAAGGACACCACGCTGCCGCGCCCCCTGCCCCTACCACAGCAGGATGGGGCCGTGCAGGTGGACGGGGGCGCGGGGGGCCAGGGGGATAGGGGGGGTGGCGCAGGGGAGAGCGAGGGCGAGGCCAGTGGGAGCAAGGAGTGGAAGGATGCCAAGGTGAAGAAGGGGGCGGGGAAGGGGGCTGCTGAGGGGAAGGCTGCGGCCGGGAAGGGGGGAGGTGGTGGGAAGGAGGGGCACCACCCGCCAGGGGTGGGGCACCACAATGGCAAAGGGAAGCACAAGAAGACAAACTCCAGTGTCGTGGCAGGCAGTGGTAGTGACGTGGCAAAGGCCGGTGGTGGCAAGAAGGGTGCGGGAGTAGATAAAGGGGATAAGAGCAGTGGCACGAATGGCAAGGGAGGGGCTGCAGGGAAAGGAACGGTTGGGAGCAGCAGCAGTGGGAAGGAAAGGAAAGATGATGGTGGGAGCAGCAAGGGAGAGACAGGGAGCAGTGGGAAGAAGCCTGGCAAGGGCTTGTCCCCCACATCAGAAGGGTCGGGGAATGACACAACGAAGGGCAAAGGAAAGGCAGGTAGCAGCAAAAGCAGTGGCAATGGCAGCAAGAGCAGTGACAATGGCAGCAAGAGCAGTGGCAATGGCAGCATGAGCAGTGGCAATGGCAGCAAGAGCAGTGGCAATGGCAGCAAGAGCAGTGGCAATGGCAGCAAGAGCAGAGGCAATGGCAGCAAGAGCAGTGGGAATAGCATCAAGAGCAGTGACAATAGCATCAAGAGCAATGCCGGTAGCACCAAGGGCAATGCCAATAGCACCAAGAGCAGTGACAATAACACCAAGAGCAATGCCAGTAGCAGCAAGGGCAGCAGCGGCAGCAGCAAGGGCAGCAGTGGTGACAGCAAGGAGGGCAAGCCAAGCAAGGGAGGAGAAGAGGGGGCCAACAAGAACGGCGGCAGCAAGGCAAAGGCAGGGGGCAAGGATGGCAAGGCGAGTGGTGGTGGTGGAGCTAGCGGCGCGAGCAAAGGAGAGAAGGCAAACGGAAAGGCGGGTGGAAGACAAGGGGTCGGCATCGTTGGATGAGAAGACGGCATCCAGTGCACGCTTGCCAACCGAGAGCACTGGGGGCAAGGGGAGCACAGGGGGGAGCACGGGGAGCATGGGGAAGAAGGGGAGCACAGAGAAGGGCAAGGGCGATAGGGGGAAGGGGAATTGAAGGCATATGATCTGAGCAAAGGGACGTGTGGGTGAATGTGGGGCGACAAGAGGCCGAGGAGGGAACATGCTTTCATCCAAGGGCAGTTTCTTGCTGCTGCTTTCCCATGCTAGGGCGTATGGCAGATCAGGTCTGCTGGCAACAGGGCTTGCTGCACGAACAGTAGATGTGGCTCAGCGCAGCTCAATTAGAAGTACCAAGTGAATGTAGGCTGCAAGTCGGTGTCAACAAATATATTTATGTAGCTTAGCAAGGTCATATTTGTTTATAGCCTAGCTTGTTTAGTTCTTAGTGAGTAGAGCCCTAGTTTTGTATCCCTCGACATTTTCCCTGAGTCACACTTTCCCGCTACTCTAACATGGTATTGAGCTAGGTTAGTTTATTTTTTCCGCCGTTACTGTACCTTCTTTTTTTGCGCATGTGATAATCTTTCCATTTCGCACACCCCCCTGCCCTCCAATCTCGTAGCCTCGAGCTCCCCCCCCCCTTAGCGTTCGTTTTTTTCTTCCGTGCGGTAGTTAGCAGGCCGGCACGCCAGCCAACGTGCTAGCGAGCCCGCCAGCCAACGCGCCAGCTAGCTAGCCAGCCAGTTAGCCAGCTCGTTAGCTAGCTCACTAGCCAGCTGCCTTAGCAAGCTCGCCGCCAGCGGCGCTAGCCAGCTTGGCACCAGCAGCGCCAGCCAGCTTGCTGCCAACAGCTTCCGCTAGCTCGCCACGAGCAGCTAGTCGCCAGCAGCTAGTCGTCCGCAGCCAACTAGCTGCCAACGACTTCCGCCAGCTCGTCGCCAGCAGCTAGTCGTCCGCAGTGCCTACCAGCTCGTCGCTGGCCAGCTCGCCACTGCGACTGCCACTGCCGCTGCAGCCACAGTCAGCCTCTGCCACTGCAGCCGCCACTGCCACTGCAGCCGCTGCCACTGCTGCTGCTGTCGCCGCCACAACTGCCAGTAGTGCCTCTCCGCAGCAGCCACTACCGCTGCCACTGCAGCTACTGCCGCTGCCACTGCTACAGCTGCCACTGCTGCCGCTTGCTCTGCAGTTACTGCCACTCCCGCAGCTCCTGCAGTTACTGCCGCTGCAGCCACTTACGCCGCCGCCGCTGCCACTGTCGCCGCTGCTGCTGCCACTGCCGCTGCTGCCGCTTGCGCTGCCGCCGCTGCCACAGCCGCAGCTGCTGCAGCCAGTGCCGCTGCCGCCACTGCCCCTGCCGCAACTGCTGCAGTCCCTACCGCTGTCGCAGCCACCGCTGCCAGTGCTGCCACTGCCACTGCCGCTACCGCCACTGACGCTCCAGCTGCTGCCCTTACAGCCACCGCTGCCGCCGCTGCCCTTGCAGCTGCCGCTGCAGCTGCTGCCCTTGCAGCGCCACTGCCGCCGCTGCCCTTGCAGCCGCCGCTGCTGCGACTGCCCCTGCAGCCGCCGCTGCCGCCGCTTCCCTTGCAGCCGCCACTGCCGCCGCTGCCCGTTGCAGCCGCCACTGCCGCTGCTGCCCTTGCAGCCTCCACTGCCGCTGCTGCCCTTGCAGCTGCTGCTGCTGCCTCTGCCCTTATAGCCGTCTCTGCCACCACTGCCCTTGCAGCTGCTGCGCTGCCTCCTGCAGTTGCCACTGCCGCTGCAGCCACCACTGCCGCTGCTCTTGCTGCCAGCAGCCACTGCCACTGCAGCTGCTGCTGCCACCACTGCCGCGGCTCGCCCGTAGCTACGCAGCCGCCTGCGCTAGCCAGCTCGCAGAGCTGCCGCCACTAGCCAGCTCACTCCTAGCCCACCGCCATTACCATCCCGCTGCTAGCTAGCAGCTGCTGCTACCACCGGCTCCCGCTGCAGCCCCTGTCCCGGCTGCCCCTGTAGCAGCTGCCCTCGCTGTCCCTGCTTCTGCCGCCTCTGTCTTCCCCGCCGCAGCTGCCAGCATGGTATCGCCTGACGTCTTCCTCCTGCGCCAAGATGGGGAGGGGCGGGCAGTCGGTTTCGCCGCTTGGCAAGAGGCAGTTCTCATTCAGCTCACGAGTCAGCGCGCCGATGACGGGTCCCTGGACGCCCGCGTCTTTGGTGAGCTCCCTGCTGTCCCCCGCCCGGGCGCTCTTGCTACTGATGCGACGTTTGCGCAGCAGGCTGTGCACGCTGCTGCTCGTACTGCCTACTTTGTCTGGGCATCCCGCGATGCCACTAATGGCGTCGCCATCCTCAGGTGCCTGCCGCTTGACGAGAACTCCCACTTTATGGGTGCTGCGTCAGCCCGCGCACTCTGGCTGGCTAACCTCGCTAAGTACTCCACCCCATCGTCTGCCACTCTTGGTCGTCTCCTCCTCCCTTTCTTCCACGCTCACCTGACGTCCTTCACCACTGTAGCAGACTTAGTCGAGCACCTACGCTCCCTCGAGGCCCGCTGGCGTGCGGCTTGTACTGAGGCCTAGCTAGTGCTCGCCCCCGCCCCCCCTCTTCGACACTATCTACTTCCTTGTCACTCGCCTCCCTAACCGCCTAGCCCCTGCACGTGACGCGCTCCTCTCTCATCACCCCTCTGAGCTCACCCTTGACCGCTTCTCCACCTCCCTGACTGAGGTAGAGGACCGCCTCCGCGCCATCGCTGGTTCCATTGGCGCGTCGGTAGTCCCTATCTTTCAGGGCAGCGCTCCCTCCCCAGTGACAGTCCCTGCCTCCGCCTGTATTGTTGAGACCGCGGCAGCTACCTCTGCCCCCGGCTGCTCCTCTAGCGGCAAGGGCAAGGGCAAGGGAGGCGAGGGTCGTGGGGGGTCGGCAGCAGCGGGTGAAGGGGGTGCGGGTGCGGATGGAGAGGGTGGTCAATCAGAGTCGAGGACTGCGCACCAGCCACAGCAGCAGCAGGAGCAGCAGCAGCAGCAGCCGCAACAGTCGTGGGGGCCGACGGACCCTGGGGGTGGTGGTCGTGGTGGAGGCCGTGGGGGTTGGGGCCCAGGGCAGTCGGGTCTCTGGGGGTCGCATGGCTCTTCTGTGAGTCCGGATGCTGGTGGTTCTGGTGGCGTGGTGACTTGCACATACCAGCTGCTGACTGGCCCACAGGCGGGCCAGGTGAGCCAGCGCGCAGGGCACACCGCCGCTCACTGCTTCCGCCGCCTGGACGACCTCTACCGTCGTCACTTTGGCCTGCTGGTGCAGGTACCCCCTTGGCATGTCTTGCTTCGTCGTGGGGTTCCTATCTTTGCTATTGATATGCTTCAGATCGATCATGCCTTGTATTCTCTGTATTCTGATGCTTCTAGTGTTGCTAGTTCTTATCATCCTGCTGTTTGTAGCCTTGGAGCTACCGCTGTGTGTAGTCCAGGATCCCTTGCTGCGTCAGGCGTAGACTCCCATGCTGCGTTAGGCATAGGACCTGTTAGAGACTCTTCACTGGGCTCCGCCACGTCGGCCCTGTCCGTTGTCCTAGACTCTAACGCGTTTTGGTGCTTTATTCGAGATAGTACTGCTCTCATCCCGCTTCCTGCTCCTGTCTGCGTCGCACTAGTAGACTCCTCCACCATAGCTGTTGCACGTAGCACTGCCACTCTTCCCTGTCCAGCAGTCCCTTCTGGCTCCCTCACCAGTCTGCACATCCCCTCGTTTGCCACGAACCTAGTGGGTGTCGGTTACCTTCAGACCGAGGCATCACCGCTACGTTTCCTGGCCGCGAGAGGCACGCCGCTTGCTCACACACAGCCACCGGTCGACACATAGCCACTTTTGAGCGTGACCCTAGGTCAGGTCTCTTTACATTGTACACTACGTCTCCGCCGGCTGCTGCGTCTGCCGAGGTCGCCGCGTCCTGCTCCTGTTTCTCACTAGCCCACCCGACCCTTCTATGGCACCACCGCTTAGGTCACCCTGCGCTCCCCCGTCTTAGGCACATGTCCCAGCACGGTCTAGTCACTGGTCTCGCTGCGTCGCTACTCGCCCTACCTCCGTCGGTAGCGCCACTGCGCACCTCCTGTATCGAGGGCCGGTAGCGCGCCATCCCTCACTCCTCCTTGTTTCCTCCTACCACAGCGCCACTACAGACACTGCACATGAACGTGTGGGGCCTCGCCCCGGTCCATGGTCTTAGCCAGGAGCACTACTTCCTAGTCATCGTTGACGACTTCTCGCGATTCACCACAGTGTTCCCGCTTGAGCAGAAGGCCGACGGGCCTACTGTTCGCCTCCCATGGCTTCTTGCTATTGGCACCCACCACCGCCTGCCAGTAGGTCGCTTACACTCTGACCGATGTGGCGAGTTCGCCTCTGGCACTCTAGGCATTTCTGCCGTGCGCAGGGCATCCGCCAGACATACACACTACCGGACTCCCCACAGCAGAATGGGGTCGCTGAGCAACGCATCGGCCTAATCATGGAGGTGGCTCAGACCTCCATGGTCCACACCGGTGCACCCCATTTTCTGTGGCCGTTCGCTGTGCGCTACGCTGCTCACCAGCTTAACCTGTGGCCGTGCTCCCAGCGGCCACAGGTTTTGCCGACCCTCTTTTGGACTGGGTGTCCTGGTGACGCGTCTGCATTCCACATGTGGGGCAGCCTTGCTCATGTCCGCGATACTGCCGCAGACAAGCTCTCAGCCCGCACCCTTCCTTATGTCTTCTTGGGTTTTCCGCTTGACGCCTCTGACTGGCTGTTCTACCACACATCACACCACCGCTTTTACCACTCTCATGACATTACCTTCGACGAGATGCTCTCCTACTACCATTGCTTCCTGCACCATAGCGCTCCTGTGCCTCCTCCTCCTCTCTTCCTTGTCCCTGCCCCACGTGCCGCTCCCCTCTCGCCCCGCCCGGCCCAGTCTGGTGCCTCCCACGCCACTCAGTTCCTCTCATTTGCGCCTGTGGGGGAGTCAGTTGACTCTGGGGGCCCAGCTGATGGGGGCGCGCCTGCTCTCTCTCTGGCACCTCCCCCAGCCTTGGTACCCCAGTCACCTCAGCTGCCTCCTCCCTTGCCTCCGCAGCAGCAGTCGTCGCCGCAGCAGACTCAGCGGCTGCAGCAGCACCAGCAGCAGCAGGGAGCAGTGGGCTTTGGAGGTGCCGGTTTTGGGGGTGCTGGTGTTGGCGTTGTTGGTGTTGGGGCTGCTGGTGTTGGTGGAGTTGGTGTTGGGGGTGCTGGTTCTGGGGGTGCGAGTTCTGGGGGTGCTGACTCTGGGGTGCTGGTTCTGTGGGTGGTGCGTCCGAGGGTGCTCGTCTTGGGGGTGCTGTCTCGGGGAGTTCCGGTGGCAGCCGCAGTGCCGCTGGAGGTCCTAGAGAGGACAAGGAGCAGTTGCAGCCGCAGCGGCAGCCGCAGCAGCAGCAGTAGCAACCGCAGCAGCAGGCGTAGGCGCAGCCATCGCAGCAGGAGCAGCCGTAGTCTGCCCTTCGTCTCCTTGG